TAAGAATGATTTCGGGTGATACCGTGATGACGGTTTGGCGATTTTTAAAAATATCAGTGGTCCTCATATGGAAAAAATTAAAAAACATGTTGTTGAAATACTTAAATCGAACGATCTTCTGATATCAACACAGTGCAACATAAAAATTGTAAATTATCTGGACATTACCTCAACAACCACACCTACCAACCTTACTCTAAACCCGGAAACTCTTTAAATTACATTCATGCTGAATCTAACCAGCCATCCAGTATATTAAAGCAACTCCCGCATTCTATTGAATTAAGATTATCAGCAAATTCGTCAAGCAAGGAAATCTTTCAAAAATCCACTCCTATGTATAATGAAGCATTAAAAAAGTCCGGTTTTAATTACAATCTTTCTTACCAACCTAACTTAGAATTATCTCACACCAAGAACCGTAAACGTAACATCATTTGGTTAACCCTTCCTCCCCCCTCCTTTTAGCAAAAACGTTAGCACAAATATAGGAAAAATAATAGGAAAAGTCTTAAACGCCCGCAAGCGTCATGTTATAAACAACTAGAAAGAATCAGCTGAAAATAATTGCAATTGCATAGATAAAAACACCTGCCCAATATCAAACCAATGCTTAACAAAAAATATAGTATATCAAGCTAATGTATGTTCCAACGATCTTGTTCAAACTCCCATCAATAAATTTTACATTGGCATAAGCGAAATATCTTTTAAAATTAGATATGCTAATCACATAAAATCTTTTAAAATTCCCAAATAAAAAAATGACACTGAATTATCAAAGGAGGTTTGGAGATTAAAAGATGAAAACTTGAAACCGGTTGTTAGGTGGAAAATAATTAAACAGTGCGATGCCTATAACCCTGAAACAAAACGATGTAACTTATGCATTAATGAAAAGTACGAAATTTTATTTTTTAAATACCCAAATTTGTTAAATAAAAAGAGTGAAATATTATCTACGTGCTGGCATAAAAAAATTGCTTTATGCTCAAATTGACACTTCTTTTTTATTCGTTTTGTTTTGACGTCGGAACTCATTCTACAGCTGTTTTCGTATTCTGTATTTTTTAACTTTTTTATATATCGGTGAAACAAAATTAAAAATCTCATCTCGCATTTACCAATATCAAAAAAATACATACGAAGGAAATTGGGATTACTCAGCCATAGCGGAGCATTCAAAAAATTTTCATGGCAATTTTACATTGAACAATAAAAATACCTTAAAGTAGAGGTTAATAATTTTAACAGAAAAGCGAGGGAAGCGCTTGAAATACAGCGCCATGAATGCTCACCTTCAGACGGCGGTCTAAATCAGGACGACGGAGGTTACGTCACAACTTCCTTTTGGAAACCTATGTTTCGGTATTTAAAAGAAAAGAAACTATTGCATTGATTTGTTTTTGTTTTTGTTTTGTATTTAACGGTTTTTATATATATTTATATAGTTGACAACGAGGGTATCAATAATCCCTTGAAATATTGCATGAAAATTAATTTCAAATCAATTTCAAATTACATCCATAATAGAAGTTTTAATTTGATTGTATTTTTTAACGGTTTTTTTCTTGATTTGTATAATATATATGGCTGAAGATTGCCGATAGGCATGAAACTTTTAGTTACATTATAAAGTTGTATTTTTCTATTTAATTATACTTTATATATATATATATTGATCTATTTTGTAAAAATTGCTTGTACATTATATTGATCACTCTCAAGTAAACAAGAGGATTTGTATCTCAACCAGATACAATTATAAACTACTACATACATATATATATATATATATATATATATATATATATATATATATATATATATATATATTATATATATATATATATATATATATATATATATATATATATATATATATATATATATATATATATATATATATATATATATATATATATATATATATATATATATATATATGTAGTAGTTTATAATTGTATCTGGTTGAGATACAAACCCTCTTGTTTACTTGAGAGTGATCAATATAATATATATATAAAGTATAATTAAATAGAAAAATACAACTTTATAATGGACCAAAAAGTTCATGCCTATCAGCAATCTTCAATCTTTATAAATATATATATAAATATATATATATATATATATATATATATATATATATATATATATATAATATATATATATATATATATATATATATACATATATATATATATATATATATATAATATATATATATATATATATATATATATATATATATATATATATATATATATATATATATATATATATATATATATATATATATATATATATATATATATATATATAGGTAGAACAAGATAATACTGGGAAGACGATTTTGAGAATCTTAGGATGTTTTTTGTTTTTTTTTAAGATTTTGTATATTTTGAAACTTTTATTGTCAGTTTTTTCATGTTTTTTCCTTATAAATACACTATTACAGATACTTCAATGCCAGTTCTAGCCCGACAATCGACATTGGTAAGGAAGAAGCGTGAATTTCCTGTTTAAATGCTTCTCTGCGGTGCTCTGCCACAAGACTGGTAGATCTTCTTCGAGCACCTAAATACTTAAAAAGAAAAAAGGAAAAGAAAAAAAATTTCAATAGTAATCTTCGTGAAAATATTTTGAGAAATTGGTATTACCAGTTCAAGAATAAATAAATAAAATAAATCAAGGGCCTTTTCTTGTTTATTATTTATATCAACAATATTTATTTATCATCTAGTATACTAAACTTCAATCTTTTTGCTGGCGACACTTAAGTTTTTTATGCCCACTCTAACGTTACGGCAAACTCTACCACTATGAATCGTGAACTTGACAACCTTAATGAATGGTTTAAATCCAGCAAACTCTTTCTAAACACAACCAAAAGCAAATATACTCTCTTTTCAAAATTTTTAAAATCTGATACCTTACCCTTAAAACTCCCGAATATTTCAATAGAAAAAACCAAGTTGTAACGGACATTCTGTGTTAAATTCTTGGGCGTTTTAATCGATGAGCAAATAAATTAGAAAGAGCATATTAATTTACTAGAAAATAAGAATTTAAAAAGTATTAGAATTATGTATGAATTTAGATATGTATTGGATAAAAACTCTTTAAAATATATTTAAATGGTTTACAAACAAGTAATCTGATAAGCAAGACTATAACTTAACACACTTGATCAAAATGTTTTATAAGGGTTTGTATCAAACGCAATCGCATAAAAAGTTCATTCAAAACTTTTATAAGTATTGAATCGCTGTGTGTGGTGGTTTTAAACAACGGTTTAAAATGGTAATAAGATATAATTAATTTTCATTTATTCACATCAATAATTACGGAATGTTAAAATTAGTAATCGTAACATTCTCTGGGCAAGCACTTATCCGTTAAGACTAACGTGTATCGTAAAAAAACAAAAACAAGCAAGCCGCCTTATATTAAATGCTAATAAATAAACCAGTGCCAATCCACTGTTTAGAATGCTTGGAGTGTTAAATGTTTATCAAATAAATAGTTATAACATTCTTTTATTCATGTTTAGATTAAAATATCTTATAATGCCTAATATTTTAAAAACCTTTCCTTTGATCTATAATAATAGATAATAAATATAAAAAAAACTATTCCTTGCTTAACTATCAGGTATCAAAAATTTTGTTAAAACGATCCGAATTCTCAATAAAATACAAAGAATTGTGGAGCTCATTTCTCCCTAGTAATAGTAAACCTACAATTAGTATTTAAAAAAAAATTAAGTTCAAAAAAAACATTTTGATCAAAATGTTTTTAAATATATATTATGAATTATATTGAATGTATCAATTTTGTCAACAGTAAAGGTGATTTGATTCAAGTGAGCTTCACTCTAGTTTTTTAAAATCAATAAATTTGTTTAAATTTTGTATTTAATCAAGTTTAAATATGGTTTTATTTTACTAATTATAACTAAGTAATACAAACAAGCAATCTGATAAGCAAGATTATAACTTAACACACTTGATCAAATTGTTTTATAAGGGTTTGTAACAAACACAATCGCATAAAAAGTTCATTCAAAACTTTTATAAGTGTTGAATCGCCGTGTGTGGTGGTTTTAAACAATGGTTTTAAACAAACTTTTTAAACAAGGTTGCAAAGTTTCAACTTATGTAAATTTTAATTCTATAAGGCGTCAGGTAGAAAGAGTTATTGATTTTTTTTTTCTTTTTTTTTCTTCTTAAACAGGGAAATGATTTTTTTACGAAAATCGATAGATTTTGTTCTTTAAACTCTTCAATTATTTCATTACTTTATTTATTATTAAAAATATTTTAAAAAATTGTTATAAATTTTCATAAAAATTTCAATAATTTTCTAAAAATAATTTTTAAATTTACCATTTTTGTTGCTTATTTTGTTTTCTAAATTATTTGACTGTTTTAATATCCATTAAAACAGTAAAATAAATTGTAAAAAACATCTCAAAGCGCCATAATAAAGCTACGTGATGCCATAAATAATAGTACAAAATGAGAAAACAAGTTATGTCCTACCATTGCTTTACAAGCCATAAATAAAAGCATTAGCAAACATTTAAAACATTTTGCTATTTGAAAAAAACTAACTTAATATTTTTATATATAAAACTAAAGATATATATATATATATATCTTTAGTTTTTAACTAAAGATATATATATATATATATATATATATATATATATATATATATATATATATATATATATATATATATATATATATATATATATATATATATATATATATATATATATATATATATATATATATATATATATATATATATATATATATATATATATATATATATTATATATATATATATATATATATATATATATATATATATATATATGTTAATAACAACATTTTTTTACCGCCAAATTATAATCATCAAAAATATCTTACAAATATATTTTAAAATAAATAAATTTAGTTATCGAGAAACAAAAATGTTGTCATAAATTGTAAAAATCACAAGCAAAATGTTAGAGAAAACTTGTACATATAAATTATAATAATACTATGTATTTATAATATGATAATTGTTTTTAATTAGATAAAATATCCACATGACGGTTTGTCGAATGATTTTTATATTACAAATCATAAATGTATACTCATGTTCTTTAGATTTCATCTGACGAATTGCAAAATAGTTTATTGTGATGTCAAATATTATGAACGGTTGTTTCTTTGCAATAACGGAATAGGCGTAAACTTGCCAATAATATTTTTTATTTTATTTATAACTTTTCAAAATAATAACTTTGAACTTTATTAATGTGATCCAATTTTCATCGAATGTAACTTTTTGATTTTTACATTTTTTTACATTTTACAAATGTGAAATTTGCTCCGTGCTTATTAACAAATTTAACGTGCAAATGTTTTTTTTTTAATAGTCTTTAAAGTTTAACAAAAACCACAAGTTTTTGAGCATACTTGTTTCATGACTTCATTCGAATTTTTACAAAATCCGTAAGTTTTGTACAAGGGACAAACTAAAGCTTGGTTCGGATCGTCGTGGCAAGTGTCTAAAATATTTTTAAATATATCTTTAATATCTTTATTTTTAAGTAATTGTTCAAAACAAACAAATTATCAAACTTACTGCATTTGACACCGCATGTATTTGGACAAATAACTCTTATATCATTTCTTTTACAATTCTCTTTAAAATATTGGCATTCACTGTACTGATCGACGCAAGCTGAAAAACAACATTATGTTTTAAAGATGTGTTTACACAAGCTTAAAAAAAATATCACTATCTTCAAAAAAACATCACATTAATGGTTATGTTAGAAATGCATTAGAAATAATTAATAGCAACTGTTATAAATGATTTTATTTTAAAATCTTCTTCAAAGAATTCACCACCCACCATCAGATAATGAATCTTAGCTTTTTAAGAAACGGCTTTTATTGATACCAAGATCTTATTTTACCTGATTTATTTTATTATATTATTTTAATTTAAGTTATTTGTTAAACTCTGATTAAACAAATGTGTCATATAATAGCCGTATTTGTGTCGTATTTGTAGCAAACGCTCTACACCACTACCGCATTTTTTTGTTGCTTACTTTATCTTGTTGCTCACGTCATCTCGTTATTAATATATTAATAGATATTTTTAATCTATTTAAATCTATTTAAATGAATATTAAATCCTATTATAAGACTTAACGAAGTGGTGTAGACCTCATTAAATATGAAGTTCCGTATGGTTTGCGTTAAGGTGTTCGTATTAACTCATTTAATCACAGATAATCAAGTTTTTCAGAATTATAAAACAGTTTAATACATAATTACTAGTGACCATTAGAAGCAAAAAGAATCTTAGCTCCTAATTTTTTATGGTTTTAATTTGAAGTTCATATTAAACCTTATTCTTTTATTTTTTTACAAATTTATTTCAGCCAAGTAGTATAGGTATAATGAATTTTATTTTAATTGTCTTTAACAAGTCAAAGCAATAAATTCAAAAATAAGAAATTAGTGGGATGGTTTACATTATTTTCTTACCATCATCATCATCCAAACAATATAATTGTCTTTAAATTAAGCGCACGAAACAAAATGCTTAGTTTATTTTTTGTTCAGTTATTCAAAAAAATATTTTTAAGGAACAAAAAAAAAGGAGTGTAAAATGCTGTTAATTCTACTGGATTATGTCTTATATTGTACTTATTTCCATGTTCTTTATGATTAAATTATTTTTGAAAATAATTATTTTTTCAATATAAAGCCTACTAGCGGACATAAATGTAAGCAGAGCGTCCGTTTAAGGCGTCAAAGAAGCTATATGCGGATGTTGTGCGTGCTGGGTATTTTGAAATTTAAAGCTGATATTGGTTGGTAGTTTAAAGAAGCAGGATAATAGCAGTAAAGTATAAATAAAAAATGCCTGATTGTTTTTTTAAAAGAAAAAATGTTAGTACAAAAATAAAAATATAACTTACCTGGGCAACCCTCGTTATTTTTGCCTGTGGAAACAGTCACATTATCCCAACAGCATCCATAGTCTGTTAACATGCAGTCAACAGGAGATTGAAGTCCTACAAAAATGAGTATTAAAAAATACAAATTGTTATAAAAAATTTGAAATGCCGTCGTTTCTAAGCGGTCTTTTATAAGCTGTCATTAAAAACAGTGATAAAACTCATACTAGATCTGAAATAAGTATATATTTAAAAATTATATTTTTAAAAAGTACTTCACAATCGTTTAGTAATTTTAATAATATATTTACAACTTAGTAGACCGTAATACTTTTCTGCAGGGCCGCCGAGAGCTGTCACGCCGCCTGGGACAGCAATCCTGATTGGCGCCCTTATTTATCAAATTTACCATATATTATATTGGAAGGACTTTTTTTTTTTTAGGTACCTATATTTCATTTGGCGCCCCTTGGATATCTACCGCCCGGGACAAATTGTCCCGGTAGTCCCCTCTCTCGGCGGCCCTGTTTTTCTGAAGTGCACTCTCTAAATGTTTAATATAACTAGATTGATTATTAAGATGATCAGCTACAAGTAGAATGAAAATCTTAATTTGGGAATGTGTGCATTAAGAGGCAGGCCGAAAGAGATTCTACAATTTTTTCCAACTTCATTTGTATAAAAAATGTTAAAAGAAACATGTTAAACACATTTTGTCGTAATGTAGAGCGTTTTCTGTAAACGCTCACGGTTCAAAGACCCACTACGCTCACGTAAGTACTACGTAGATACGCCCACGTAAATACCATGCTCTAAATAACTTTCAGTGCAATAATCTTGTTTGCCAAGTGTTTTTGATTTCCAGTGTTAATATGGTTTTTGGACAAAATTATAAAATTACTCTTCGATTATAGTGGCCCCTGAAACTTAAAGGGTCTTCAATAAATGAATATTTAATAAAAACAGAGGAAAACGCTCAACCTGCTTTATTTTTAATTTAAAATAGAATATTTCGTAAAAATATTATTAAGTTTAAAAACTTGTTTTAAAAAATACTTACTGCATTCTCCGCAAGTGTCTTTGCATTTTTCCCGAATTAATGTTTTTCCACAAAGATGACGTAGTGTTTTACAATTAGGAAACTCGTCCATACATGCGACTGTTAAAAAAAATGTATAAATGCAATAACTTTAAAGCTTAAAACTCAAGTTATTTTTATATAAGTCACATAGTTTACAAGTTACATAGTTTACGTATCTTCTAAAAATAAACTGTATAGTGGACGCAAACTTCAAAACATTATAGTACATACAGCATTTTATACCTCCAATTTTTGTCCAATCCACATTTTTGCCACTAAAAACAGTGTTTACTAAACAAAAGTTCAAAACTAGAATAATAAAGAGGATGTGAATAATGAAAATAATGTAAAAGTTTTGTAGGTGTGTGATTCTGTAGATAGTGACTAGAGATAGAGATAATAAGAAATCTGTGATGGAAATAATAATAAATGTGTGTGAAAATAATAAATATTGTAATAAGAATATGGCTGAGAATGAAAAATAAAAAACAAATAAAAATATAACAAATAAAAAGAGCTAGGCTTACGTTTAAATTGTCTTTCCTGCTCAGTGTTCAACCAAGTAGTTGTGTACACTTTATTAACAGAAACAGCAATAAGAAATGCAACAATAAAACAAACAGCGTTCATGTTTTAAATTTTTAACTGCACAATAACGAATCAATACAGAAAATAATTAAGCAAAAAAAAAAAAGGGTTTGTCAAAAAATATAAGTTATATTAAATAGTATAAAGTTTAAAACAAATAAATACAAATGAATATTCAAATTTGAAAAACTAAAATATTTTAAAAACCAAAATTTTAATTCAAACACAATACAAAAATTGTTTTAGGTTTTAACAGTTTATTTATAAACAGTACTTATAGCCAATATCGTTAATTTTTTTAAGACAATTAAATCTCAGAGTTATTATAAAGCATTAAATTCCACATAACTTTTGCGAACTCTACGAGCTTTAGATGTTTTTCTTATAACAAATTTTCCACAAATAACTTTTGCATATTGATTTAAAAACAAACAGAAATTATACGCTTTTGCTAAATCTATGTCAAATTACATCAAACAACGTTAAAAAAGACAGCCGTCTACGTTCATATCTTGTTTCTCGTTGTTTCATTATCACTCATGTAAAGTTTAATTTAAAAATTATAAATAACTGATAAAAATAAATAAAAACCAATAAAACAATGAGGTATAACATTTATGTAAAATTCCGTTGACCAAAAGTTTTTCACTCGTTAAAGTTCCGAAAAACTCAACCACAAAATATAAACTGTGCTAATAATCCCCAAAAGAATTGATAAAACTAACAGAAAACGTTTTAAACAAATTTTAATAACAAGAAAGTTGCTGCAGGCATTTTTTATAGACTATCTAAGCCCTCGAACACCGGAGACTATTTGATTCAAGTAATTGGAAAAGTTTCAAGCAATGGTAAACTTTAATGAGTGTAAAAACAGTGGATCGACAAAGTAACAACAGTAGATTACCAAGAATCAGACAACCTACTTGAAATTTTTTTATGTTTACAAAGTTTGCCAGGGATAAAATTCTTACCGGTTTATTTATTCATCCGGATTAGCGGGAAATGTTTTAAAGTTTCCTGTCTTTGCGTGGGAAATAAATCTACACGAACCGTGATATTAACAAAACATGATAATTTTTTCATGTAAAAAAAAAGATTAAATATTATATGTCAAGCAGAAACCTTATGCAAATGAACCTTTGCACTGAACTTTAATCCTAAATTTTCTAAAACTGCAAAATTTTATTTTATTATTTAATTCATTAATTTTAAACCCAATGTTTATTTTAAGATTTTAGTCGTGGTCATGTCGATGGTTTTATTTTGTTCTATATTTAAACAAAATTGCGAATTATCTTTGACTTTGTTACGCGTTTAAAAACACTTTGTCAACTTGCGCTTTTTTTTCATTCCCTAAAATGACACTATAAAATGACAAGCGATATAATAGCACACGATAAAATGACAAACAAACTCCATAACAAGTTTTAACTTTGCTTATCATTCCGATTATGAAAAACTTTTTTTTTATTTTATCCATCTCCCTCATTTGAATGTTTATAACAAAATCAGAAGAATTTCTTATAAAAACCTATCAACCCTTTTACTACCATCTTTGAGTTTCATGGACTGCACACTGTAATAACTTTTCACAGTTATTTCAAAATCTGACAGTAAAATCATTATTTTATCAACACTTTATTATAATTTAGGCGAGCCACACAAAATAAAGACTTTAGTTCACGGGTTAGTACCACCTGGTCTTACCCTTGCTATTTCTGATTTTTGTTAATATATAAAAATCAGAAAGGTCATATATGTTTTTTATTTATCTAATCCAACGTTTAATTTCTTTAGATAGACGATAGACGATTTTTTTTTTATAAAAAATTTTAGCACGATATTTTTTAAAAAAACAAACATTTTTGTTGAATTTAAAAAGTTTTAATAAATAGACATTTTCGAAACGACAAGTTCAGCATTTGTAAATGCAATTTAATGATATGAAGATTTATTTGGGGGTGCAAATATCTCAAACTGTTTATTTGGGGGTGCAAATATCTTAAACTGTTTTAGCAGTATAATGTGCGCACATGAGCTGCTTTTTATAAAATAATTCGATAAATATTTGTTTTGTGTAGTTACGATTCTTTTTAGATGTTTTTATAAACAGTAAAACAACCGAAGTTTTTTTTAAAAAAGAAAAATCTCTTCTGATAAAAACTGGGTGTTAAACAATTTTTTTTACTATTAATTGATTTTTTTTTTGAAAACATACCTGTGTGTTTATAAAGTGTGTAATAAAAAACTTAAAGAGTTTTTTTCTATATTTTCGAAATAAATGTAATATTTAAAACTTAGTTTCCGAACAAAAGTAAAAAAGACTTGAGTTACAAAAAGTAAGATCTTTCGATCTTGCGTAAGATCTTACGTAACTTTTACGCAATTAAGTTAAGGTCAAGATTATAATAAATTCTGCTTTCCAATATTATAATGATTTTATATTAAGTTAGTGTTGTTCAATCACTTTGCGTAGTTTTGTGTACACAACATCGTTACGCGCGTTAACAAACCATTGATTTTAAGCCATTACGTAGTTTCAACACTTTTTCTAAATAAAAAAATACCCAGTTTAAACCAGTTATTATTAGCTTAGGAACATGGTAAAATTAGAAGCATTTAATGTCTTACTCGATGTCATAAAATGACCCGCAAGTCATTTTATCCAACAAAAAACAAAAAGCCATGGTTTAGATATTTATTTCGAAATTTAAAACTTGACCTTTTTAAATTAGGAAAACTTTATATTTAGTATATTTTTACACTTTTCATGCTAGAAAATTATTTTATTTTTATTTAAATATTGATTTCAGCAAACTCTAATAAGTTATCTTTAGAACCAAGCTAAAAGCTAAATATTGCACGATTCACGCCGATATTTAAATCCGGACATGACTTAACTATCTCTAACTATAGGTCTATATCTATTTTATCTTGTTTATCAAAATTACTTCAGAGAATAATGTGCTATAAGCTTTTTAATCACTTATCAGACATATTGTATTCAAAATATTTTGGTTTCAAAAAAAAAAAAAAAATTAAACGGAACATACAAGTGGTTGAACTAGTCAATCAAATATAAATGCGTTCAGAAGTAACTACTTTACCTTAGGAGTTTTCATTGATCTGTCAAAAGCTTTCGATAACGTTAATCATAATATACTAATAAAAAAACTCGAACACTATGGAATAAGAAAGAACAATTTACTTTGGTTCAAAAGTTATTTGACCAATAAAAAACAATTTATAGCGTATGAACAAAAACAAACATTCCCGTCTGCCGTAATTTGTGGAGATCCCCAGGGCTCTATTTAGGATCAATGTTGTTCCTAGTGTACATCATTCGCGTAGCGAAGGGCCCGCAGCCGCGGGGAGGCCCAGAGTTATTAGGGGCCCAAAGAAAAAAAGAAAAAATTAAAAAAAGTGTCAGTTCAATAAATAACATGCGTATCATTTAACATAATTTTACACAGGAAGGTAAAGGCAAGGTGGGGGGGGGGGGGGAGGGAATAGAAAAAAAGTAATTTAGGGGCCCGGATTACATTTTTGCGGGGGGGCCAATTTTTTGTCGCTACGCTACTGGTGTACATTAATGATTTAAATTTAGCAACAGACCTATTAAATTGTATTCTTTTTGCAGATGATTCCAATCTTTTTTATTCCACAGAGATATTAATACACTATTTAAAATAACAAACGAACAATAATCGAAAGTTAATGAGTGGTTTATGAGTTATAAATTTTTTCTAAATGTGGATAAAACCAAATTTATTTTGTTCCACAAAGTGAATAAATCAAAAAATATTCCCATCAAATTGCCTAATTTAATAATCAATAACACTAACATTAAGAGAGAACTCCATAAACTTTGTAAGCGTAATCTTAGATAAACATTTACGTTGGAATTTAGATATAAAAAGTATTAAAAACAAAATATCAAAAAATTTGGCAATAATATATAAGAATAAACCATTTTTAAACAATAACTATAAGAATAAATAAGAATAATATAACAATAAATAAGAAATATAAACTTTAAAAAGTTTATATTTCTCTTTTATTCATTGTTGTTTAATTTATTGTAATATTGCATGGGCAAGTACAAACCATAGAAAATTAAAAAAATTGTATTGTAAACAAAAACACGCGTGCACCACAATTTTTGGAGCTGATAGATTTGGAACTGTACCTTGTGAGCCTCTTCTTGGAGCTTGGAGCACTAAATATATATAAAATCAACTTACACCAAGTTTTAATGTTCATGTATAAAACAAATACAGGATTATCTCCTAAAATATTTTAATCCTATTTTGACAAAATAGTTCATAAATATCCAACAAAATCTTCAAATAACAATTTTGTTGTCCCAAAATATAATTCAAAACTAACTTTATATTCAGTTCTTTATTGTGGACCTTACTTGTGGAAAATGTTTCCCAAGATTGTAAATACACATAAAACTAGTATAGAGCAGTTTAAAAATGAATCAAAATAGGCATTCTTACTTATGGATTTTAATATGTGACCTAATATAAATTATGTCACTGAGTGTATCAACATTTTTTTTCCATTACCTTAATTATGGTATTCCCTCATTCCCTCGTTTGCTAATTTATTTACGTTACTTCTATGAAGTATACTAATTTATTTATGTTATTTCTATGGTGTATATATTTTTTTATTTACTTTTTATTTTTAAATCTTAGTTCAAATTTTTAAGTTTTAAGCAAATGATAATATCTTGTTTATTTCTTCTTTTTCACTTGATCTTACTTTTTCTTTAAATTTTGATTCTTTTTCTTTTTCCTTTAAATGACAGCGAATTGTTATCTATTTTACTTTTATATTTTTTCTTTTTTTTAATAAATAATTTGTTAACTATAGATATTTAAATATTACGGTTTTTGTAAATATGTGAGAATGGGGGTCGGTGATATAAGCTCGGCTAAACAAGTCTTCTTCTTGCCCCGCCAATATTTATTTTTATTTATATGCTTCGAAACTGTATATATTAATAAACGGCAAAAATTACGAAAAAAAAACAACAACAAAAAAAAACAACACATTCAATGCTAAGTTGTTGGCTATTAAGTGATTTGGATGTTATGTGCCAGACCTGCTTTTACAACGAATATGTTGAAACGAGATAATTAGATGTAAAGTTTTTGATAAAAGCCACCAAACCGAAAAAATTAAAAGTATTGGCAGTCAACTGCACTTAAAAAATTTTAATCATAGTATATAGGTGTATCAGAAAAACACTACATAAATCTTTTTTTAACATTAACTCATTTTTTCAACTTTGTTGTATAGACAAGTTTGGCACTTAACCATCCATTCTTGGGTAGAAGATAAATTTTTCGACAAATTCCACGGAGCTAAATATTTTTAAACTTTTTTATTTAAATTACTATATAATATTTATTAATGTAATAAATACGTTTTTCAAGCTAATAATAATACCTTTGTTTTGATGAGAAGTCTTAAACTGCTTAATGCAAGTTCTCTCCATAATCTTTGTGACTTACATTACCAGCAAAAACTCTACAGCGGGTTTCATTGGACCTATATAGGCATTTTGAGCGGACACAAGGACTTAAAATATATATGAGTGAACTGCATATATATATATATATTTATATATATAAGTATAATACATATATATATATATATATATATATATATATATATATATATATATATATATATATATATATATATATATATATATATATATGTATGTGTGTGTGTGTGTGTGTGTGTGTGTGTGTGTGTGTGTGTGTGTATAAATACAAAATGTTCACACACTTCAAAATTCAAAAGTTTAAGTAATACCCAGTTCTTTATTAGTTAAATGCAATATAAGCTTCAGCAAACCACATAAAATAATAAAATTCTGTAATAAAATTTTAATTTGATCAATAAAGATTTGAGGAAATATTGATGGCAAAAACCGCTTTTTTTTGAAAGCAAATGGAAAAAGATTCATTTATTTAATTTCTATTCAAGGTTAATTTATTAAATATGAACCAATGAAATATGTGTATGAACTCATGAATTGTTGTTTTATAAAGTTCAAAGATATCACTGTTAGAAAGGAATAAATTAATATCATCTGCAAACATAATGCTCCTTAGTTTTGAGGCTTTTTTTAAATCATTTGTATAAATTAAGAAAAAGATCCAAGTAATGAGAATTGAACTCCGCAGGTTATATTAAGAGAAGTGGTTTGGTAACCGTCATTAGTTGGAACAAATTGTTTTCAATTTGATAAGTAACTTTTGAACCGTTTTAAAATTTTATTGTTTATTCCATAGTATTCAAGTTTACAAAATGTAGTGATCAACTGTATCAAAAGATTAATTAAGTTACAATTTCTTTATTGCATTCAGAAACTTTTTTTTCTGATCTCTTTATAAATAATATTAATAATAAGTTTATCTGGATTAAAGATATTAACAAATATTTTCAATGAGTTTCCCTCCCTCCCTCCCTCGTTAAATGATACTTGTACTATTTTAGTATAAGGATTCAATACTCATTCACTTAAAATGTCAATAACAAAATTGAAAAAACTTTATATTAAAATTTATCAACCTTTTTATTACTTTTTACTACTAAGTTTCATGGATTGAACACTGTAATAACTTTTTACAGTTACTTTATTATCCGACAGTAACTTTATCACTTCTGACTGTACAACTCTTTTTCCATTAGCCTCGTTCAGAGTAGAAATTAGTTTTTTAGATCCTCTGTTTAAAAGATTAAAATTATTTTGAGGTTGCTGAAATGTTTTATAAGAGATTTGTTGGATTTCTTCTCTGTCTCCTTTGTTTTCTGGACAACCAACTCTTATCATCAAAGGTTATTCACAAGTGGCTAAACAAAATCGATTGTCTAAATTTATTTTTTTTATTATCATTTTTTCTTTGATTATGGAAGAAGCCACCTATTTTGCTTAGTGCAGACTCCAATGCAAATGATATAAGGTTTTTATTGGAGTCTGCACTGTGCAGACTTTAATGGTAATGATGTTTTTGTAGCAGTTTATTTGCAGCATTTGTGTTCTAAGCCATGACGTAAACATATATTGTTGGCGGTATTTTGAATATAACAATATCATGTTATATCTTAAAATTTTCTGTTTATATTATAAATAATTGGTACAAATTAATTATTTTTAATGTATTTTCTAGAGAGAAGAACTCAATCTTGATTGTAGTTGTATCAGAATTTTTTGAACTCCAATCAACCAGAACATTGTTTCTTCAGAATTGACATTTGATATATATTTTTACAATTTAGAGGATATTTTAACATTATATTCTAACCGATGCATTTAAATAAAAACATAACTTTTTTCTCTTTTGTGTCTATCTAGCCAGGGGGTTCCATCATTTTGTAAGCATGTACAAATTAATTTTGCAGTTTAAAATTTCAAACACAACAATAACTATTTATGTTCATTTTTATTTATATTCATTTTTATTACTAAAATTATAAAAATGTTATCGTAATACATTTTTTCTTGAAATAAAAACGCATTAAAACTTATTATTAAATCTATAATTACTTCAAATGTGTACTGCCTAATGGTAAAAAAAATATTAAAAAGAATGATCCACTTTATTTTTCTTATATTTTTTGTTATATTTTTTTATATTTTACTTTTGTTATAATTTTCTACCTAAATATAGAACTATTCATTATAGCTGTGAATTCATGCAACATAAGCATACAAACTTAGAACAATCTCCCTTCCGAACTAAAATTTCTTTAATCATTCTCAAAATTTAAAACTGCTCTCTTTAACAATTTTCAAGAAAAATATTGTTAATAAATCTTATACCTTTCTATAACTTATTATATATAACCCTAACTCTGAGTTTCTATTTATCTAATATTTTCCTTTTTTCTATTGTGTTAAAACACTTTGTTTAACACAATTCAATTAAAAGTTTAAAGAAATGTTAATTCACCTCCCCAAGGCATAGAAGGCCACGACAGACAAGGAGGTTACTTAAATGTGGTTATAACCTTCTCTCAACTCTATAACTCCAAAACACGAACCTTGACAAACAAGACCGCTGGGCTGGAAAAACAAGTTGAGCGCGGTACTACCAGGAACGTGATGGGGATTAAACTCACTTATCAAGCAAGCGCTCTGCCACTACACCACTACCGTAGTTACTTGGTACTATTTGTAAACAACCTTGATGTTACAACTTTTATCAGAAAATATTTGATTTGGTTTGATTTTGGGGTCTCAAGTCTTAGTCAATCAATTCAACTCAACTCAAAATCAAGTCAACTCAATTACTTAGAATAAAAAAGAGTTTAACAACGTACCATGATGCGAGTCTTGGTACCTTGGTAGAAAGATTTACTCAAGTTGTAAATAATTAATTGTATTTTAAATTTTTTACCCCCATTACCAGGATTTTAAAAATTTTTAATTTCTTAATAAATATCTAAAATGATGAAACATTTTTTTTGGTTAGATAAAATACGACTTTTGGGTTGACTTACACAGTGCTCAATCCAGTTACACAGTGCTCAATCCAGTTTAAATAAAGAGTCATTAGGAGGTCATTTCGCGAAAGAAAAAGAAAAAAGTTCGCGAAAAAATGATTAGTCTACTTGTAAAAGAGGTTATACCATCTTAGGAACCTGCTCATTTAAATAAAGAGTCATTAGGAGGTCGTGATAACAAGAAATAATCGAAAGCATAAAAAGGCGTTAAATGTAATGTAAATTTATTAGCTAAATAAGCATAATTTTTTACAAGTTTTATATGCAAAAGTGTTCTCCTTTGGCTTCTTAATACGTACGGACGTCTAAGAAAAGACTTACCCAGTTTTATACATAATTTCCGTGGGATAGCTAAGTATGCAGTAAAAATTTCTATTTTATCAATATCAATTTAATCAAATTATAGAAGAAGTTTTTATTTGAAATGTTTAATAGTTT